GTGGACATTGCATCAAAAATAAGGGAACAATTACGTAATTTTTAGAAATATACAACTGACTACCAATGGAAGAATAACTGACAAATAATTGCATCATATTGAGCAACGATATTTTTTTAACTGCTACTACACTCATGTAAAGCACTGATAAAAAAAATTGTATAATATTTCCCATTTTTTACTTCAAACATATAGGAACCCCAAAATTAATTAGTGAGATTAACTCCAATACTGATGTTTTTTTGTGGTTTTACTGTATTACAGCAACCTTGAAACCAACAAAATCTTAGATCCACAAGCAATTTATATAGTTTAGAAAAATGTGAATCCCATCAATAATTCTAGGGTTAAGAAAGGTATTTACTGCCACATTTTAATTATAATTTGCCATCAAATACATGTATATTTAGAGTAGGACATTCTGGTAGGTTTTTAATAACTTTGCACATAAATAACTCAACCACTTAAATAAAAAAACAGAAAACTGTTTCCAGTGATTGACGATTACACCATATGTGATACGAACCTAAAATGATAAAAAATTAAGGTCAAAAGCAGTTTTTAAAATTAAATGTGTATGTGAAATAGATCTTTGCAATTTGTGAAAATGAAGAAATTATATTATAAAAAAATATAAAAAAAGGAAGCTTTCATTATGATGAAATACTTGTGCACAAGTGAACTAAATTAAAAAGCACCACAACTTTAAAAACTGCTATCAATGGATCTTACTGAAAGTTTGGAACATAGTTACAATAGAGGCTGCTGGTCTTACCTGCATGTGGCTGTGTCTTGTTCAAACAGGTGACATCCTCTGTGTGTGAATTGAGCTTTGTGTCTAATTCTTGACCCTATTCCTTAATATGAACTATTTAGATGTTTGCAGTACTTGAAATTTAAACTCGGTGTCCAAAAACTTAGAAGCTCACATTGAAGATAGCTTAACCAACTTAATTGCTTAGTGAATTGTAAAAACTGAAAAGTTATACCATATACTATTAAGTTAAAGTGATAGAAAATAATAGTTACATATATTATAAAATAGACCCAATTTAGGATTTGTAGAACTATAATTAAAGAGAAGAGAGATGAATTTGCAATAACTGAAGCTAAATTATTTGAAACAAATTTAAAATTAACTAAGAATAATTCCAATTCAATATGGAGTATTCACAAAGTACCTCATTGGCAAAGTTTTTAAAATTTAATACTGAAAAACAAGTTGACATTAAATAAAAATTTAATACTCTTATAAGAAAGAGAAAATATATTGCAAATCTGTAAATTTGTATCAAATAAGACAAAGAGTCGATTATTGACTAGTCCAAAAAACTGTTAATTTAAATTATTAAAATTTACCAACAGAATAAATTAAATTCTAAATTTATTTTTTTCTGTTAGTAGTCACTCATCAAATAGAGAGAATTTGATTGATATTTACTGAAAAGTTGTAAAACAATTAAAATTGAGTACGAGATTGTAATGGATACAGTTAGAACTGCAGTTGCCAGCAAATTTGCATCCTACAGTTTCGATTCTAACTCTAGTTTGAGTAACTGAGTCACGCTAACTTCATGTTACTTAAAACAAAGCAGATAAAGATGGTCAGATTGTCATTTTGGGGAAAAGTAGTTATAATGATAATAAGGATAGTTCATATATTGAGATAAATAAAGACCCAACTACCATGTTTCACAGTGAAGTTAAAACAGTTACAAAAAGTTGTGTTACTTTAATTCTTCTCCTAATGAATAAAAGTGTCTTATTACTTTTTCATTTTATTTTAGCTCAGTTTTATGATCTGAAAGTTCATAAAATTGGTAGACAATAGAGGTTCATATTCTTATTTGATTGCTAAACTTACTACTAAGGAACGTTTTTTTCTTAACTAATCCACATACATATATGATACAAAATTTCTTGACTTTTGTAAACAAAATTAAAGAAGTTAACTCAGAATTGAGAGATCAACTCACATTATTTGCAATTTCATTATTTATTAAGTTCTGTTTTGAAAATATGCTACTAGCTAGCTACAATTTTTTCATCATTTGAAGTGTATCATATTATAAATTTAATATGTTGCTGTGTAATTAATATGTATTTCAAAGTAGGAAATAAGTCTGAAAGATAGATTAAAGGCCAGGCTATGGCATCCCATCTATCATCACACCTTCTTTGTGAAATGTCTATTTATGTTTGATGTTGAAACTTGATCACTGAATACTGCTTTGGTTACACCCATTATACAGTTCAGACATGTGGATGACATGTTTCTCGTGTGGTGGCACAGCAAAATTATGTTAATGTATTTTAAAAGATAGTAATTTAATCAACTTTACAATTTATATGTCTGTAAAAATGGAGAATGTCTGTGTATAGAAAACCATAATCTCTTATTATTTTCCACCACCACACAAGAGATTGTGTCACCTCTTGTCACAAAATAAGCCTTCTTTCTCTACTTCTGTGTTTAGAGCTAAAAAAACTTGTACTCACCAAGATGATTTAATGTCAGAGTTAATTTTTTTTAAATATGTTGCTATTGATAGAGGTTTTAATCTAAATATTATAGGTAGAAGTTATAATAAGTATTGAAATAAACGGAAAATGTCTCAATGTCTTATGTTCAAAGTAAATAATAATCTAATAGTAAAGAATATGCTTACCATATGTCAAGTTTATTTCCATACAAATTGGAAATACTTTTAAGAAACATGCAAATTGTTGAGTAACCTTTTCTCCCTGTTTTAAATTTAGTAATTTTATCAGTAGATTAAAAAACGAAGTACAAAAAGATAAATGTGGTATTTATAAAATTCCAAACAACTGTGGTTTAGTTTGTATTGGACAGACATGCAGGATCTAAAAATTTAGATTTACAAAACATAAAACTGTGACAGAGATGCAAAAACATTGATGAGAATGCATTAGCTGAACATGTGGCAACCTTGACTCATACTATCAGTTTGGAAAATATTCAACTTATTGTTGCGTCATCGAGGTCA